TCAATCATACTCCATCGATTCCATCGATCAATTATTGTTAGTATACTCACATTTCAGAATTAGTTCACTTCCGCTTGATTCGGAAAATTCTTGTTGGTGTACATCCGTAGTATGGGCGCCACCATATTGAATCTCATGGGATCTGATGACATCTCGCAGAACACAGCAGTTCCATGTGGTTTCAAAATTTAATAGTGAACATTCACCTCTGAGAAATATATATATTCAAATATGATTCATTTGTGGTCAAACGTTATCACAGTCGCTGTAGTGTTCATTGAGTCCATATGTTACCGATTTTTTGGTCCGTTTGTCGATTTTTTACGAAAAGACGGTTTTGTACCTCTTGACTTGCTTATGGTCATCATACTTCCTGCACTTGAGTTGGCCTTCACACGTTTTAGTGACTGGACACATGGTTCGGTTCCCATCAAATAGTCCGATTGGCATCCTCGTTTCTTATGCCGATCTTCTCACTGATCAATGTCCTTACTCAATAAAATTACAAATGCTATAATAATTAACTAAATAATACTTCAAAAAACCAAAACTATGGTTATATAGGAAACAACAAAAACTATCACTTATCGCCGCTAGATGGCGCAATGACTAAAAGACGTCTTCATTACACAAAATGTAAACTTTTTCTAGTCTTGAATACATAAGAAATAATCAAAAATTATGCCTTACTACAGAGAATTCTAATTATATAAAAGCTTTATACCTTTTTACTAGCTAAGCTTTTATGAAAATATTGATGTGAAAGGATGTAAACATAAACATTATCTCAAAATAACTTGACAAATTCAGTACAAATTATGGATTTAAAATCTTTATAGTTTTCTAATAAAAATATGGTATAAATGGCTGACTGGAGGCCACTAAAGCAATTATTATATACTTGATGTTTTAAATCTTTGATCAAACCAGACTACATAATATGTCCTATTGGCAGCCATTTGTTTATAAATTTAATGACTCCTATTATTATGAGGTTATATGGTTAAGACAGTATAGTGAGAAAATTACCCATGCAGCACAGGGTGATACGACTATGTACAGTCCCAGTACTGTATCTGTGGTGTTATTATATATCTTTCTGATCCAATCGCATGGTGTAGGAATGCCCCTAACCAATGGAAATTATTAGAACTTACCTTGACAATACCACATAAACGTTTCATAGAGACCCTACACAACACCACACAATCCAAGACTAGATACGGAGTGCCACTAAGCTTTTAAAAGTGTTAGCATTTTTGTACATTTTTATATTGAAAAAAATCATACAATTTTTGCAACCCATTATTATATCAAATAAATATCGCCATCTATTTTACTGTGGCTTGATTAAAACAATATTTACGCAGGATTTAAATTCTTGTATATAAATCCATATTTATTCAAAACAGTTATCCCGGACAGATACAATCTGCCAGATATATTTATACCACGAATTGATACCTATTTGGACAGTAAATAAGACCCATTTACCCCCAATTGGTAATTTCTATATAGTGCCCCTTCTCTTAAAACTTGATGACAGATATTTTGTATAATAAATGAGCATATTTTCCATTTCTCAGATCTCAGAATAATATCATTCAAACTCATTCTAAATAATAACCTAAAAACAAAATGCTCTAATTTGCTGTGAAGTTGGTACATTTTATATAATATAGCATTTCATATAATTTCCAGTGTGAATTTCACTAAATAAAAACTATTTACATTACACTGATTTGTAATTAATACATCTGTTCAAATGCTCGAGAACAATTGAAAAGATCTGTATAATAAAATGTCCTTCACTTTCAATGCTGTCCATTTAACACACTTCAACCAATTTAGCAAAGTATCAATTGCAACTTTTATCACTCTGTAGTGATCAAAATCTAATACTGTAATTACTGTGCAAAGATTTTAACACAATGGTTATTACGGTCGACTACAACCACTCTACATGGTACATCATCAGTTACTGCTACATCTGATGGTGAATTCAGTCCATCAGTGTCCTTATCAATGCGACAGATGAAACGACCACTTCTATCAAACTTTTGTACCTTATTATTATAATTAACCACATATACATATCCCTCCTTATCAATAGCTATGCCACGTGGCCCGTATATCTGACCTTCATCTTGACCTGGACAATTGAATGAATACATGTACTCATCATCTGTATTGTAGACTTGTATGCGGTTATTGTTATAGTCACCTACAAATAGTAATCCATGATTGTCTACAGCCATGAAAGATGGTCCCTTAAATTGTCTTGCTTCACTTCCATAACCTCCAAATGATTTGATATAATCTCCATCTTTTGTGTATTTTCTTATCAAGTGACCATCTTTATTTGTCTTATCACCAATCTTCAAATCCCAGTCAGATACATACACCATGCCATCAGCAGGTCGAACAACAATGCGTATGGGATGCTTCATATTTTCACTAAATCTTTTGATCACATGACCATTCATATCACTGATAACAACTTGTGCATTATCCAAATCTGTCATGTAGTATTTGCCATTGAATATGCACAAACCAGATGGAATACATTTTTCAATTTTTATAATATTTTTATAATTTCCATCCTTGTCTGTAATTTGTAGTCTTTTATTACCCCTCTCAGCTGTAACAATGTCACCATTCTTATCCACTGTAACACCAACTGGCAGATTATATTCCCCTTTTCCACTGCCATTTTTACCAATGGTCTTCACCAATCCTTTAATGACATTGAACTGTGCAGGTGTTCCTGGTATTGGCTGATTGTCTATTGTCACTGACACTTTATATTTTCCATCTATTTCTCCATGTACCATCATTGTGTGTGTTCCATCATTGTTATCCTGTACTTTGATATCATCACTTGATCCATCAGGTTTTGTTACTCTAGCCTCAACCACCTGGCGTGGAATGACTTGTTTTCCTTGTTTATCTCTGGTTGTTACCATTAAAGTTGCAGTGTCACCTTTGATCAGTTGTTTTGGGACATTATCAAGACTACAGTTTTGTTGACATGCGTTTGTTGCCAGCATTCTTACATCATCTCTCCCTGGATGAGGTCTGAACTCTATTACATCAGGAATAAGTTGTGGTTTAGTTTCCATGGCAATCAACCCATCAATTC